AATCGGGATGGGTGTGTCGGAGGCAATGAGATTGGCACAGAATAGAGCAGGGTTTAGGGCTGTTGTACATAGGGTCGCTATGAGTCGCAAACGACTCAACGGCACACAACAACAACAACAACCACCACCTCCACCTTTGTCCTTGCTTAGAAACAGGTTCTCAGGAAGCAAAGATTTCCGTGGAAAATGTTCCTTCACATACACACATAAAAAGGAATTTGTAAATTACCTCAAATTAATAGAGCCCACACCAGATCCTTTTTCAAGAAAAACAGGCACAATGGGGAATGCGTTTAAAATAAACACCAAGATTGTGCATGATCAGAGGTTATCCAGGAACGCTAAGTGATTGGCCAGTCTCCAGGTTTCCTAAGCCTATCTGGCCAGATACAAGCAAAGTAAGGGATATAAAGCAACAGGGGCAGAAATACATATCCGCTGCAAAGGTGCGCGCTCCATCTCAGGAAGGAAACATAACGTACAAAGGTCAAGTCCACCCAGAGTTCAAACGCTCAACCTTGAGCTAAATTCCATCTCCTGGACTCCAAAAGGTCAACAGTCCCATGCACAGGGCAGAAAGCTCCCGCAGTCGGCTTCCCGAGGGATTTACAACCTTGGAAACTCAACGCGGCAGGTTCGTTCTGTCTGCAGGGATTAACCTTAAGGCTGCGCCACTCGGCAGTCTACTCCAGCAGAGGTTCCGGGGGCGCGATTTACAGCCTTAGGAATCCAATGAGTCAGCTCCGACTCCGCATTGAGTTTTTAATGGGTCATCATGGGTCTCGGAATCAATTCGGTTGGTTACAACGGATTTTACCGATTCGCTCGCCGCACCTCGGAAGACCGGGGCCCCTCCTCGCACCCCACCCTACCCCGAACAAGGCGCTCCCAAGGGTCTGGGCAAACATTCGACTCTGGAAAACCTCCAAAACAAGAGGCCCGGAATTCCGGGAAAGGATGGATTTCCCCGCAAAGGCTCATCTTTGGAGAGATGAGGCTCTCGGGACTCTGGCGTGCGTCTGGGTGCCCCTTTGCCCCTGCAGATCGCCGCGCTCGCCCGCAGAGGCCACCCTATGGATCGAGGAGACCCCGGCCCGATCGCCACTTAGGCTCACCCCGGCGGTTCCCGAGCTAGCCAGGGATTCCCAGACAAGGGACGCGAAGAAACACAAGATTGCCTCCCCAGGACTTAAATCTGTCCCTAAACCAGAGCAACTGAAGCTTTCTCAAGGCCGTCACCAGCTGAACAGTGGCCTTTAGAAACTCCTAATTCAGTCAGCAAACCGGCTTCGAGACTCCCCATCAAGCACATTCCATCCGATCATTTTACCTCTGCAAAAGTAAAAGGCTCTCTGGGCGAGAACTGTCGCCAAACCACCGTCTTCCCTCTCCAGGGTCTGCGACAAACACTCTACAAAATGGCGGCAGCGCCGTCTCCTTACAACACCCGAGACGCCCCCAAGCGCCACCTACGACGCGAGAACGCGCCTACGTGACAGAGGAGTGCGCGCACTCGCGCTCCCCGTATGGGTGGGGCTCCGTTTGACGTCAGGGGTGTGGCCTGACTCCACATTGCAGCTGTGCAGTTCTGCCCCTCTGCACAAATTCCTGGTGTGGTCATGGATTTCGGCCTTGTTTTTGATGTTCCCCGAGTGAATCCTTCTTCACCTGTGACAAGTGTATACCCCTTCACATGGAGCCTATTAGTGCTGCACTCGCCCTGAAGTGTGCGGCACTCACCGTCCCACTGGTCGCCAGTTCTCCCCGTTCCCACGAATCTAACTCTAGAGGGAGCCAGCACACAGCAGATAAACCCCAAAGACTTCTCTCAGTGCCTGACCCTGGGCTTGTGCTCCTGATAGTTCAGTGAAACAGTTAATATCATCCCGCTTGAAGTTTTCATATCTCAGAAGACTAGCTCAGGGCTGCCTATCTATTAAAAGAATAGGTTCCTAATAAGAAGGGAAAAGGGAAAAAGCAAAAAAGACTTTTTCTGTTTTACTCGTTATGATTCTTGTACCTGAGGCTGCTAAAGTAACCGAAAGTTTCCCTAACAATCTCGTTATTTATTCCTGAGGATTGATTTAAAAATTCAACCAAGTCACAATTCCATGGGTGAGTGGGGGTGAAGAAAATGGGAAGGATCTTTTGTGGGAAACAATGTATTATACAAACTTTGTAAATAAATCAGTATAGAATTATTGTTGTTGTTGTTACGTGCCGTCGAGTTGCCTGAGACTCATAGCGACCCTATGTACAACAGCCCTAAACTCCGCTCTGTCCTGTGCCAATCACACTGTCTCTGACACTCC